CAAAAGCAGGTGAAATCCCAGCCATCATTACCTAACAGATAAGTCCTAAGGATAGTTACAAGATAATAACGAATAATAGACAAATAATACAAATGAATCATACAATAGTGAATAAATAATAATACAAGAATAAACTTTCATGTACTCACAACTGTAACCGACCTTTGCCCACCCCTGTTGCTGCTGCTTTCCATTTTTTCCCATTTTCCAAATCATGTAGTTGGGATAATACATTAAGACGTAAGGCGATTGAAGGCGGTTTCTAGGCTGCGCTTCTGCAGAGCTGTGTCCTGGCTAAGACAGCCCAGCGCGAGGCGCCTTGACGTTCACCACGGACCGGCTGTCTCAGACGCCTGGGGACTGGCTGTGCAGCCGCCGGTCGGAGCCACTTGTCCGGGACTCGGGCTTCTCCAGCAGCAGCGTGCACCAGCGTCTCAGGGCGGCCTACACAGATGCCGCTCCCAGGCTGCCCGCTCAGCCCCCTAGAATTCTGACGGGGTAACTGGGGGGAGACCCAGGAGTCTCTCTGTTTCTCAAAGGGCCCCAAGGTGAGCGACTGGTTCGGACTGGCCACCTGACACCCTGGAAGGAGCACTGGCCCCAGGAGGCTCCAGGCTGGGACACAGCTGGGAGAATCCACGCCCCACGTGGGAAGAAAGGCGCAGGCCGGTCGTTACCCCGTTGTCATAGGATCAGATTCCAGAAACTCAAGTAGGAAGGCAGCCCCCAATCCCCGCTCGCCTCTGCTCAGCATTGATTCAAAGTGCAGCACGTCCCTCCTCGCGCTCAGATTACCAGCCTCGGTGTGTAGGGGTCCTGCCGGCGGGAGAAAGGCCAGGCCGCAGCATGACGCTCTCTTCCCGACCATGTCACGGCCCCGCCAGGGCCAACAGACAAGCAGATGCAAGTTTGCCGACAGCTCCACCGCTTCCTAGGTGTCAGCTTAGGTGAGTTAACCAGCCCTGGAGCTGGAGCTTTTCAGGGAAGCCCTATTTTTTTATCGCTTACAGAAGAATCAGTTGAGTTGAAATGCTTAGAACTGTTAGATTTCCATTCTTTTATAAAATTACTAGAGCCCCAGTGCACGAAATTCAGGCACTGGTAGGGTCCCCAGCGGGCCCCCCTTCTTTCCCCCAGCCAGCCCCGCCCCCTGGTCAAACTCCTGGACAACTCCTGGTTGCGGGGACAATTTGCATACTATGCTTTTATTTTATAGGATGAGGACTAGAATCTGATATTCTTTTAAAAAAATATGTTTTCATTTATTTCAGAGAGGAAGGGAGAGAAGGAGAGAGAGAGAAACATCAATAATGAGAGAATCATTGGTCAGCTGCCCCCTGCACGCCCCCTACTTGGGATGGAGCCTGCAACCGGGACCCGTGCCCTGACCGGGAACTGAACTGTGACCTCCTGGTTCATGGGTCAACTCCAACCACTGAGCCACACCCCGGCCCTGCGGGGTGTCTGATATTCTTCCCAGCTCTACCATTCTTTGTATAGTCTACCAGGATCCTATTTCTATTTTAAGTGGAAACATTCGGGTCTTTGCAGAACACATAAAGTCACAATGTTGAGATAAAGAAAGCCGTTAGAATCATTCTGCTGCCTTGGGCAGGACATTTTTAAACAACCCATGTATTCCTCCACCGAACAGGGCGGCGCCTGCTGCAGGTGACATGAGACCGCAGGGTGAGGCCGCCTCCTGAACCAAAGGCAATCTTCGCAGCTATCCCTCCGCTCCCCAAGAGCTGCCTTATCAGGCAGATTCTGGTGAATGTCCTCAGTGGACTTTCTGTCTCGGAAAAGAGTGCCCATTGATGCGAAACCCGAGGTCCGTCACGCCGCGTCGCAGCGGGCGGCTCCCCAGTGGGCCGTGTGAAGAACCAATGACGTCGAATTCCTAAGGCGCTTTTGAGCCGAAATAGGGCACGGCGTCTCATCTCACTCCTGTCCTGGCTCGGGTTTCGCCCCCTCCGTCACCCCAGAGAACACAAAGGGGAAAGGTTCCTTCTCCAGGCCGGGAGCCTGGAACCCTGCCCTTTCCCACCCTCTCACCTTTCTGGCCGCCGGGTCCCCTCCCACACACAGTGGGTAGGCGTGTGCAGACAGCTGACCTGGATGGCGTCGCGGGGGTTCTCAGGCACTAACGCTTGCAGTTGAGATTTTTTCTCCAGTGCCCCTCACATCTCTCAGCTGGCTTTGCAGATTCAACCTCCAGTTATTCATTCTTTAAAAAAAAAATGATTTTAGAGGGAGGGAGGAAGGGAGAGAGACAACATCGATTTGTTATTCTATGCATTCATTGGTTGATTTTGTTGTTGTTGTTAATCCTCACCGGAGGATATTTTTCCATTCATTTTTAGAGATAGTGGGAGGGAGGGAGAAAGACAGAAATAGAGAAAAATCGACGTGAGAGAGACACATTGAGTGGCTGCCTCCTGCACGCACCCCGACCAGGGCCAAGGATCGGGCCTGCCACCTACATACGTGCCCTTGACTGGGATCAAACCCAGGACCCCTCTGTCTGTAGGCCGACGCCCTATCCAATGAGCCAGACCAGCTAGAGCCATTGGTTGATTCTTGCATGTGCTCTGACCAGGGATGGAACCCACAACTTTGGCATGTCAAGGCAGTGCTCTAACCAACTAAGCCACCCAGCCGGGGCCCGCTGAGCACTCTCGCCGCACGGACTTGCAGGTGTAGAGTACCAGGCAGGTACTATTTTTTAAAAAAATATTTTTTTATTGATTTCAGAGAGGAAGGGAGGAGAGGGAGAGAGAGATAGAAACATCAATGAAGAGAATCATGGAGCGGCTGCCTCCTGCACGCCCCCTACTGGAGATCGAGCTGGCAACCCAGGCATGTGCCCTTGACCGGAATCGAACCTAAGACCCTTCGAACCTGGGACTCTTCAGTCCGCAGGCCAACGCTCTATCCACTGAGCCAAACCAACCAGGGCCCAAGCAGGTCCTCTTCTTGGCATCCACTTAGCGCCGAGGTCTCCATAGGGACCTCACTCCCTGGAGCTTGGTTACTCTGATGGCCCTCCCCCCTTTTCCATCCTGTGGGCCTGTCTGTTCCCTGGACGCCTTGCCCTCACCCTGGGAGCCGGTGGGTAGCGTCATTGAGTCTAGAAGGAGCAGAGCAGGTAAGGGAACCAGGCTCAGGGAAGCCATGGACAGGGCCAGAACGAGTCACAATAGAGAAGGAAGGGCTCCTCCAGTCACACGGTGGGAAAACGTGTCCGAGAGTCAGGGGTCATGGCCACGTTACAGGCCAAACCAGGAGAGCGCCCAGGACACCAGAAGCAGATGCGGAGCTCCCCAGGAGAGAGCGGACCCGAGCTGCAGGCTTCTGCAGCAGGAAGCCCTGGCAGTGCCTCCCAGCTGTCCTGCTG